GTGAAGAATTGACGCATTTTTGTGCGAATCTATTCGTTCTCTCGAATCACTTCTCTTTCGTTTTAAATCACTTCTGGGCTCCGAGTCATGCATTCGTTCGTGTCTTTCATTATTCCTCTACAATAAATGTAATCATTATTATTGTTATACAAACATTTCATTTCAATCAAACGCTCAAACCTTATCGAAGTCAGTGTTGTCTGCGTTGGGAAGCGGTATGTCTTTCAAATCAACGGGACTTTTATTTCGTCGACTCCTATCGTAAGCTTCTTCTGAATTCTGTCTCTCTCTTTGATTTCGATGGATGTCTTCATTCACTTTAACCGTAGATTTAATCAAATGTCTGCCATTTTCGGTATGCTTTTCAGAGCCGGAATCACTTTCGGCATAAAACTCGTCGTTATTTCGATTTCGGTGTTCTCTCGGAGAAGGACTTCGTCTCCGGCGACGAATGGGTGGCTCTTCAGTAAAGACTCTCTTCCTATCCGTAGAGTTACGATAAAATGAGTTCTCATTCTCTGAATCTTCTCTTTCATAGTCTCGACTATCATAATCTCGGTTACGATTAAATTGTCTATAAATAAAATGAATATAAATCCTAAAAATTACTGTAAAATAAACTTATGTAACAAACCTCTGGCGAAAAGGATTCTCCCTTTCAAACCGATTCCTATCTGAGCCACGATTTTGAACACTTATGTTGTGAAACAAAAGATATAAAGTAAGGTATATATTGTAAAAGTAAATTAAATCAAATTTATCAAAACAAACCGTTCATTGCGAGCAATGATCTCTTTAAGCGACACGAGTTTTGACTGCGCTCTTCTCCAGTGCTCAGGGGTTTTGCTACGGGCTCTACGGTTATCGGTTGGCGACGGAGTTCTGTAATGCTATTCATACCATAACATAAGTTTTATATAACACATTGTCATCAATGAAAGCCTACTTTATTGCCGCGCCCTTTGAATAGACGTCCGGATGGAGTGATTCTTTCTTTTGCGGGCAAATCATTGCGCGATTCTTCGAACACAGAATCTCGGGCTAAGAATTT